TTATATATTATATCTCTAATATATATTTTCCCTTTTTCTTCCCTTCAGAAAAAAAGGATTTGCGAGTTTTAATGAAAAATAGAACCTGAACTTCCTTCTCTCATTTTATGACAAGAAATACAATTAGTAAGGCAGAAAGAAAAAAAAAATATTTAATAGATTCTCATTTTAAAGACAAACCTAAAGTATCTTTTCGGCGAGGGAATTTCCTATACAACGGGAATAGATATTTCCTTATAAAAAAAAATGGGATACGAAAGAAAATAATTATGACAATAAGAATATCGTAAATGTGTTATTATTTTTCATATTTAATAAAGAATGTATCGAGTAGTTGATATGTTCGTATCTTTGAAAATATATATATTTTATACATGTGAGAATTGAATACATAATCTAATACAACTTATTCAAATCTTTATCACTAGAACAAATTTAGTGGCTTGAAAATATTTTCCCTCCCCTCCCCTGACTGCATGTGAAAATATAGTGGGAGAAAGTTTTGATCCTGGTGAGTCAACCGAAAGGAGATCATTAATTCGGTAGTTGGGAGTAAATTTTTCTACTTCGAGAACTAAAATTATATTGTCTTTTGATATGGATAAAATCCATGCGCATTTAAATTTTCAATGTATTTAAACGTTATAAATTGACAAGAAAAAATTAAATTGATCATGTAAAAAATTTTATGCAGATAGATTTTATTCTAATTAAAATACTCCACGCAATCTTAAACCATAAGAATTTATTGTGAAAAATACTGTATGAATCTGTACTGGTTACGATTCTCGCTGAATGCATTCTTGGGGAAGGGGCTAAACCTTTAGCCATCACTGACCCCCGCACTCCGGATTAGTCTCATAGCCGGCTCAAAGAGTCGAAGCTTGTGGGGATACCGGAAGGAGCCAACTCGCCTCAAAGAGGTAATTAGGATGAGGTAACTCCAAAAAAAAAAAAAAAAATCTACCACATTTTTCTATGAAATTTAGCCATCCACAACACCATTTCACAGGAAATCTAAGTTAACTTACATTAAGTTTAAATAGAAAAGTGAAGTTCAGAAAAACTTATTTGAGTGGAGCATACTTACTTTCATTTCTGGAATTTTCTATTCATGGAACACTCGGGTCCAACAAATCATTTGATTGATGTCCCATTCAAGTTTAAAAATCATGCCATAGTAGTGTATATCGAAAATGAACTCACTACATCGCAAAATCAGCCATAAATGAAAAATAAAAATTGCAAGGGGAAAGGCCAACCAATAAGGACCATCATAAAGATAGGTTAGATGTAATGGGAGCGTCGGTCGTTAATGCTATCGAGTTTCGACCACAAATCACAAAATGAACATAACAAAGCACATCCTCACCTACCACCACACGCATATGCCTTCCCTTCCTCACCAAACCTAGCTTTTGGACCATTTAAATATTTATTATATATATTCGGCTGCATTATTTTATAATGAAGTAAATTACGCTCTTAACATTAATTGTTTTCACTTAATTAATAAATTTAAAGCATTACATACAAGTAAATCTCTGCAATCTGCATGTATATATGATGAGTTTTAATTTTCTCATGTAATAGAAGATAAATATCTCATGTTATAGACACATCTTGTGTGAGGTCATATCTATTAAAAAAATAAAAAATAAAAAAGAATATTGTATGAAAATCAAAGAGTCACTGGAAGGAGAAAATAACTCTCATATAACATGAGAAAATATTTTTTCATATATGATTTATTATTTTTTTAATAGATAATTGGGAGGTATCCTTACACAACCTCACCTCCTCCATACGACCCTTAAAACTAGCTCCTCGTTAAAACCTGAGGCCCACAAAAAATTTCAAGAATTTACTTTAGTCAATATTTGAACTATTTGACCAAAGCAAATCCTTGTACATTCAATTACCAAATTAGCTACCCTTGGAGTTTATGACTTATTATTCTTAGTATAAGTTCTAACTACTTTAATTAAAATGAAATGAAGTGGTTTTGATTATGTGGACGTCTCAATGTTCAGGTGATGTCAAATATCACTTGTATTGACGAAATCTCTCTTTAAAAAAATTGCAAGAGCTGCTACTAAAAAAAATTGACAATAAGAAAAAGTGTGGGAGGATGGGTTTTCCATTTATGTTTTCGGGTGTGTATGCAAGAGTGTTTACAGAATGTAAAAATAAAAAATTAACAACGTGACAATTTTTCATATAAGATGTTAATTTAGGTGGTGCATTTTTAAATATTGATTCACGAACACAATAAAAATAATTGTTACTCTTGAAGCAGCAATTTCATAAATTTATAATAGACATACATTGTGTTTATAAATGTTTAATAGTCAACACAACCAAAAAATAAGAATTTTCATAAGATACACCTACACCGAGTCGTGCTTGACCACAGAACTTAAAAGGATAACCGACTTAAAATAGTCCATATCGAACACTTCATGAAATTTTCATAGCTAGCTAGCTAGCTAGCTATATTGTGATGACTACAATTAATAAACAGAGAGTTAATTCCTCCAAAATAAAAAGAAAATGAAAAATAAAGAGTTCTGTACATGTATTAAAGAAAATTCCATATCAAAAAGAGAATTTAAGAAATGATGTCATAATGTTTCATTTCGGGATTGATGAGTTCAAAAAAAGCAGGCGTTTAAAAATAGTTTCCAAAGCTTGGATTATAAAAAATTCAATTGGTTGGTGCAAAAGTAAGAAACCAACAACGACCAACCCATGGAAGACAAGTCATTGTGCACTTCAAGTTTTGACTTGTGTTTGCTTTAGCAATCAATCTTGAATTGTGCATCGTGCAAATTGGACATCCTACGCCATGGGTTGGTGAGCATTGAGCAGATGTTCCTTAGGCTTTGAAGCTTAGTCATGCATTGAAGTCAATAATCCAAACCAACCGCATTAGTGGTATTGTTATTTCGGGGTTATATTATACTTAACACCTCGCTTTCATGTAGGCAAGTTGTGGTGCCTGTGGCCCATTTCCCCCACCTGTTTATTGCACAAACTTGTTTGAAAGGGACAAGTATGCAAATTTTGCATCGAAATATGTGGCAGGCCAGCTATTGTGTAGGCAAGAGATTTTGTATGGATCAACTCACAAGCGTTTCCTTAATCAGTGGAATCGAATTCGAGTCCCTTATAACATAGTTGTATTAAAATTTAGTGGAGAGAAATTTATTGCTTGTAAAGAACTTTGGAATACCACTCCAAAAGATGAGAGTGTTCAAGGACTTATAAACTTCACATTAGTTGCTCGTACAATCGTACAATCAATATGGACAACACCCCCTCACGCAAGAGCCCTTTGGGCTAGAACACTTTAAAGTAGGAGGCGGCGGTGAGGGCTCAAGCTCTGATACCATGTAAAGAACCTTAGGATAGACCACCCCAAAAGCTAGCTCAAAGGGTGAGAGTGCCCAAGGCCTTATAAACTCCACATTAATTGCTCATACAACTAATGTGAGACTATATATCTCAACACGCCTCCTTATGCAAGAGCCCTTTGGGCTAGAAGGGTGGAATTGCACAGGCTCAATTTTTGGTTAGTGGGGACACCCCCTCACGCAAGAGCCCTTTGGGCTAGAAGGGTGGAATTACACAAGCCCAATTTTTGGTTAGTGGGGGCAGTGAGGATCGAACTTTGTGACCTTGTAATCACTCAAGCTCTGATACCATGTAAAGAACCTTGGGATACACCACTCCAAAAGCTAACTCAAAGGGTGAGAGTGCCCAAGGCCTTATAAACTTCACATTAGTTGCTCATACAACCAATATGAGACTATATATCTCAACATTGCTCATGTAATTTTACTTAGCTCAAATCGAACTAGTCGAGTGTTCAATAAACAAAGAGATAATATAAAAAAATGTCACTAACACTGATTTTAAGCTCTGGAAATAGGTTAGTTGTGAACTTAATTAGTAAAGATTTAATATTAGGTTAGGCAGTAAAGACCAAAACACAAATTACTCCAACAAACTATTTCATGTTTCTCACATTAAGTTTTAAGAAAGTATAGCTCATCGCAAAAAGTTTATTTTGGAAATTAAAATCCCTCCCCGTCTATGGCGCAGTACAATCCCAAACTACAAATTTCTTTCCCTTGAGCTCTGATAGGAAGAACCCTCTAATCCTGTCCCTAAAGCTCAAACAAATTTTGAAATTTTCCTTTATTTTGATGAACCTTTAAGAGCTACCATGGAATGAAATATCTCTAAGCAAAAATACAAATATGGGCCACTTTCATGAGCTGCCTCAATCGGATTTATTGCCTTGATTATGCCATGGCCTATGATGATAATTTCACTTTTGTATGCTTAGCTGTAGCGTCATAATAAAATCTAAGGGTGTTTTTTTTTAACTCTCGTCTAAAATGAAGACAGACATTGTCTTTGAAAATAATTGCTCGAACAGGCAAAATTGCTCTAGCACTAAAATTACTTGCAAGAGGATATTTCTGAAAATACCTTTGAAGAAAGAATATCTAAAGAAGCAGAAATATTTGAAAATATCACATTGCTTATACTAGCATATAACGTTGCAAATACTTTCAAACTAGCTAGTTTTTCCCATTGAATAAGCCATTTCTTCTTTATGCAAATTTCTTATTGAATTACTTAAGAATATTAGGGGAACAGATGAAAGAGCCACAGCAACTTTTAAGATAATGAAGATGGCAAAAAAATCAAATAAATAAGATGAAATGCTTAGAAACATACAACTTTGTCATCTCTCGTCAAATACATGACTTGGGTATAGTCATAGAAACACCCAATAAGATGTCAGCCGAAATAGTCTAGATTCTATATCACGTACATTTTTTTTTCATGTACAAACACAAAGTAATCGCCGAACAGAAACATATTAAATATAAGGTCATTTGCGTATACACAATTATTAGAAAGGCAGCTAACATAAATACCATTTGTTTATCAAACTCTACCATGCGTCTCAATTTTCAAGCTCTCTACCAAAATGTACATACATATTATAATAATTCTGATTCATTTGAAAATCCTAATAAACAAAAGCCCTCAAATCCAACGATCTAAATAAACAAAAAAAAAAAAAAAAAGTATAAGAATACAAATTAAAATACATGGGGTAAAAGAGAATTAAAATAATCGGGTTTTTTTCTTTTATTCACAAAATTAAGAACTGATATGACACATTTTGTATTTTTTGTATTTTTTTTTCAAAGAGAGAAATAAGAGCGTTGCTTGCTAATCTCCTTGGGAAGACGGAGTCCACGGTGTCATGTCCATAGGGTAACTCCCTAACACCCTCAAGAAAGAGGTGAATTCCTGAACCTCTGCCAACGCGTTCTGTGCCCTAACATCAGCCATTGAAGCTTCAAAATCAACGTAAAACAAATACTCAAAGTGTTTAGCGGTTCCCACATTGGCATCATCAACGAGCCTAATTGGACGGTTGCGATGAGGCCTTGATTCAATCTTCGTCAAGTTTATGTTCCTAAACGCAAATGCAGAAAGCACTTTGAAAAGCACTGAAGTCCCTTTATCGTGCGCAAAAACAATACTTGTCTTAAAGGGTCGATCCGTTCGGGGAATGATGGGTTCTCGGGCCAGCATCACGAATCGGGTTACATTACTCGGGTCATCCTGTATTCCATCTGCTAACACCTGCAAACCGTAAAGCTCAGCGGCGCGTGCACTCGCAATCGCCGCCGTATCACGGAGGCGGTTGTTGGCTACGAATTCCGCGGCACCGGCGGTGTCGTCCACAGCTTCACGTGCGACGTTGAGGCCCAATTTGGTGAGCGTGTGCTCACACTGAGAGAGGGCTTGCGGGTGAGAAATCACGCGGGTCAGGAACTCTTTTCGAACCCCTGGGAGAGCGAGGAGGCAGTGATGGACTGGGAACTGGACCTCGCCGACGATGTGGAGGCGGTGGCGGAGGAGGAGGTCGTAGTTCCGGTGGATCGAACCGCCGAGGGAGTTTTCCACCGGGAGAACAGCACGATCGGCTATCCAGAGCTCCACCGCTTGAAACGCCACCTCGAATTGGTCGCAGGGAATGGCTTCGCACTTCGGGTAGGCTTTTCCGGCGGCGGCTTCGGAGTACGCGCCAGGTACGCCTTGGTAAGCCACGCGGAGCTGCGCACCGTGCATCGGAGCCGGCGAGAGATCTGAGATGGTGAGGGGCTTCGGCTGGACCAATTTGAGATTTTCGCCTTCGCCGGCGCCGTCGAGGTTTCCGATTGGAACGAGCTTGAGGTCGCTAACTGCGGATTTGTGGCCGTTGATGGATGCAACGTGATCGGCGGCGGCGCCACCGTTATGGTCAGTTGAAAATTGTTCCTGAGAAACGACCTTGCTGGCTAAAATAGCGCATGAGCTTTGCCAGTCAGTTCGGCTGGATCCGAATCCGAATCCGTAATTCGCCTGTTCAAACCCGAAACTGCATTTGACGGAAAATCGGGTCGGAGAAACCCGATTCCGTGAGAGACGCGGGGGAAGTAAATACCCTAGTGTGTTGGAAGAGGACGGTGAGAGAGTCTGCATATTGATGCGGGGACTTGAGAGGAATTAGAAAGAAAGAATTGAACTAAAAGGAGAAATTAGGAAAAAACAAAAACAAAAAATTGATTTGTTTCGGAAGAAGAAGCTTGTGTGTTCTCTTTGAAGAAGGGAACCTCAAGCTGAAGAGAAAATGAGGTTGTTGAGGTCTTTAAATATTAAGGCAAAGGGGAGTTGGCAGGCACAGGAAATGAGAGTGAAGCTGCATACCAAGTCTTGTGGGTATGGTGTTTGAGATCGTTTGGTCAAAATCTCACACCTACCCTCCTATCTTTCCACGCTCTTATTCATATACATGTATTTCTACGTTTCTTTTGTCATCATTTCTTTTTTTTTTCTATACATAGGTGTCACATCTAACCTAAATTATGCGTACGTTATATTTTTATTTTTACTTTTATCCTATGTCTTTAATGTCATCATATTCGGTTAGATCAAAAGTACACACTGAAGCAAACTTGAATTAAAAATAGAGTAAATACAGGTCCTCGATAAATTTTACGATGTCTGCTTTAGTCAATAGCAAATAAAAAGGCATATCATGACCTTTAAAAAATTCAAAATGGATCTATTTTAGTTCTTTTAGGGACTAATATAAGTCTTTTTTAAATTTATGAGGGACCACGATTTCAACTAAATGGGTCCATTTTAAATTTCTTAGGGACCATGATGGGTCTTTTAATTTGTTAGGGACTAAAGCGGAAATCGTGAAATTTGCTGAAGACAAAAAAATGTATTTACTCTTAAAAAAATAAGAGTAAATATCATTTTTGTCCTCTGTCCGCTTTAGTTCCTAGCAAATAAAAAAGTTATTCGTAGTTCCTAAGAAATTCAAAATGACCCAATTTAGTTGAAATCTTGATCCCTCACAAATTCAAAAAAGACTCACATTAGTCCCTCAAAAGAACTAAAATGGGTCCACTTTGAATTTCTTAAGAACCACTAATAGCCTATTTATTTATTACAGACTAAAACAGTTATCGTAAAATTTGTCGAGGACCGAAAACGAAAAAGGTATTTAGTCAAAATATAATGAAACATGAATTCGATCTTTTTTTTAGAATTATTTTTAGAAAAAATTTAAAATTTTAATTTCGAAATCCATTGCAAATTAATTTAATCACGAGACGATGAATCGATTGAAATAAAAAAAAAATCAGAAAACTTGGGCAAGCCAATCAGGTGAACCTGAACCCTCCTTAAATCGGAACAAAGGATGTGTCAAGGTTGCTTTGCTGTCTGGTCCCTCTTCTTATTATTATGTGATTCTCATGCCAATGGTTTTGTTGATTTGAGACGGACAAAGGTGCAAATGACTAAACAATACTGAGCAGTTTAGTGGACGACCCAAAGGGTTACTGGTTGATTAGGGAGAGCTAGGAAGAGGCAGAGTGAAATTTAATGCAATATGTTAACTATAAAAGGGAGGTAGTACATGAATGGTGAATCACTAGCTTAATAATAAAAGAGTGAAAACTAAAATTAGTGCATATTTAAGGACTATATCCACTTACCATATATATAATACAGCATCAAATTATATATGGATTTTTTTTATCTATTATAATATTAATAACACTTAATTGAACTAAAAGTAATAACACTACCAATCAATTTGCTGAATCTGCGTATTCAGATTTTTATTTTTATGCATAAATGTTTGCATTAATTATTTTTTTACTAGTTAGGGTTGGGAGATTTTATTTCTATTATATTATTCGATACAGTCAAAGTTACTTGTAAACTTGATGACATTGCATTAATATTTTTGACAATATTATATGCAGGACAATAAATTTGCGTATTTATTCTTTAAAATCTAAATTAAAATTGGAGAAAAGTATTTCTTCAGTCATTGGAGAAAAGTATTTCTTCAGTCACCGGAGATAAAGTTATCTTCAGTGAGCTCAAAATGATGTCGTTTTGAGTAATAAGATTAAAAAATTATAATAAAATATACTAATATAATTCTGCAATATATTATAATTACAAAAATACTTTGATTTCTGTCCTAAAATAACGTCGTTTTGGGCTCACCAGATATAACTTATCTCTACCGGAGAAATCTTTTACCCTTAAAATTGTTTACATGTCATTTAACATTATTCAAATGGAATGAATAATTACATGGAGAGCAAAAGAAATACGCAAGACAAGATACTACTTGTTTTATAAAGCGTTATAGGGCCTTTTTGATTATTGCTATATAAAATAATTTTTGATTTTCAGAAAAAAATTGATTGATAAAGGATATTTATAAAAGTAATTATAAAAATAATATTTGGTTTGCCGTCTTTAAAATAGATATTTCAAAATACTTTGATATGTTTTTGGTTTGGTTTTCAATATTTTTTCCTAAAAAGGTAAAACGCGGAGAATAATCAATTCCCTTCTTCGGAAAAATGTTTGTCCTTTTAAAGGATATAACTTTGTGTCATTTTAAATGTTAACCGTTTATTTTCGTCAATTAACGGTTAGAATTTATCGGATTTTATTGTGAATTAATAATTAATTAATAAGTTTGACTCAATAAATCCTAACCGTTCATTGACGAAAATCAATGATTAACATCTAAAATGACACAGAGTTATATCCTTTAAAAGAATAAATATTTTCCCTTCTCATTGATGACATTATTGTAAATATATACTATTCTAACACCATAGCGTTATCATCCCAATCTTTTGCACTTTGCAGACCACCATCGTCTCAATCTTTAAAAGGGCATTTGGTAAAGGAGAATTTTTTTTTTTTTGGTAAGTGGAGAAAAAAAAAATTTACCCGAGAATCATGATTCCCAGAAATATGATGGAAAATTAAATTTTTCGGAAATGTTACAAAAAGTTATTTGATTGGCCAAAATATTCTTGAGAATGTTTGGTCAATTCTTCTTATGTTGTGTTTGGCTGATTGTCAAATATTGCTGGAAATATGGATTGATTTTACAAAACTAACTCCTTCTCTCTCACATACATGCAATTACTGTGCACATTCAACATCGATGCCAAAAACACAGTGCACCAAAAAGAATAAACCAACAGCAAGAACAACAAAAGAGGGAAACCTATTTCCATTTCCATAACAAGTTACTAGTTTTCCAAACCATTTATTAAAGTTATTATCTTTTAAATCCCAAGAGCTCAACCTCACATCACATTATCTGCCATAGCTATGCACGGTGATGTAGAGAATATAAGAAGAAATCAGATAGAGAGTGATGCAGTGTAAACCATGTTTCAATCAATAATCTTCTTCCTTTATAGTCACGGCTTTGTTTCTTCGATTCAAAGCTCTTGGTATCGATGAATGAACTCATCCCAAAGCCCAACGACGAATGATTCAGTCTAAGAAGAAGAAGAATTCAAATTTTTATTTATTTTTTTATTTTGAATAGAAAAAATCAATTTGGCATAAAGAGAAATAGAGACAAAGGTGTATGTCTCCTCCCAAAGGGGTAAGCGTTGGACAGAGAGAGAAAGAACAAGTTCAAAGAGAGTGGGAAAGCAAGGGTAATTTTGTCCGAAATAATTTAGAAAATATTCCCACCGGGTGGGAATCTGAAAATACCACCCACCCGGTGATGTTTTCACTTGGCATTTTCCTTCACAAACAAAAATTATGTGAATCTGATTTTGCCAGGAAAATTTTCAAAATCCCTCTACCAAACATTACTAAATAAGATTACCGATCTCAAATTCCTGGGAATCCAAAATAAAATCTCGTATCAAACACCCCCTTAATTTTTCTTCTATTATCATCATCATCATCTTAACACCTCCTTACAAAATCGACAAGTATACCGTTCGTTTCAAGTAATAAAGTGATAAATAGAGTATCGTTCCCTCTAGGATTAATGCACCAAGTACTAGTTTAACTATTTCCCTTAAGTTGGAAAATAAAAAAATAGTTTGATTTGTGAAAATAATTTAAAAACAGAATTTAAAATAAATAATAATTAAAAACAGAAAATTAAAAACAATTAATTTGAACGCATGCAAGAGTATCAAGAACGTTAAGAAAATATTGGTGAAAAATTTGTAAAAAGACTGTAGCCAGGATGCACTTCTCCTCCGATCCTCCCTTATATCCCTATATTGTATTTTATAATTAACTAATTGGTTTGCTCAAACAATTCATTATTTTCCTATAAAATAGTTGAACCCTAATGTCTTAGTGATTTTAACCCTTTAACTCAATTAGAATTCTAATGTCTTAGTAATCCCTCTTGAATTAAGCATTAAGCAAATGAATTATAAGTCTGCAATCTATGTAAGCCTATGTCTAGGTCATGCACAAATTGTTATTCTACCCTTATCCAGACTAAAACCCTAATATGTCTATTGTGAGTCTTAACCCTCAAAGCCCTATAATTAGAGTGGCCAATTCTAATCAGGATATGAAAAAATTAACACAGGTAGAATAAAACAAACTAACTAATTAAATTATAAAAACAATACAGAAAATATAAAGGATTCACATCGGGTCCGTGATCCCAACTACAAAAAGAAACTAGCCAGACATAGCTGACTCTAACAAATTAAAGAAATAAAAAGTATTCATGAAAACAATAAAGAAGAAGAAGAAGAAGATGGAAGATCAATAGTCTTCGATCTTCAATTTCGTCAGAATCCTGATCTCCAGTGTGAGCCTCCAAGAATTCTCTCCAGCCAAAGATTGTTTCTTCTAGGGTCTGAGTCTTTATTTATAGACTTTGTGCCCTTGTGTAGAAATCTTGATCGAATCTTCATTGTATATCTTGGTCCAATCTCCTTTGATATAGTCTGAATCAAGTTTTAAAATAATTACGTGCCTCCAATTTGGGCTTCTTTTGTCCTGTTTTCCTACAAAATCATAAGAAAATTAATGACAAGATATCTGATTAAGATTTATCAATTTAATAACAATTCTAGCCTTTTTTATTCAAGATTGATCAAGATTATTTTTCTTTTTGGCTTAAAATCATATATATGCTGGAGGCATATCACCTCCATCCCTCTTCTATTACCACCACTATCTCAATCAGTTTTCACAAAGAAAGAGAGAGAAATTTTTCCTTAATTTCAAGTTTGTCTCAATCACTCAGTAAAGTCAGTTGTGAGGCATTGCTAGCCATGAGTATGGATAATAAACCTATTCAGGTGCCAATTGTTGTGTTAGCTTCCAAAC